GGGCTCTGCTACTGCCATCTTTCATGCTGGTCTCTCTGCCGGTATCTCTCTGCCAGTCTCTTGGCTCTGCTCCTGCTGTCTCTCATGCTGTATGCCGGGGTCTCTCTGCCAGGGTCTCAGGTCAAGGACGCAGTCCACTCCTGTTTCCACATTTTAGGTATCTGTCAGAGCAGCACCCTACTCTCTTGACACCGAATTCTGTTCTGGTTACCTATTGTCACTCTGACAAGAATATATACCAGAAATGGGATGGCTTGAACAAACAGGAGTTTATTCTCTTACAGTTTGGGAGGCTAGAAGTCTGAGTTCAAAGTGCAAGGCTCTACGGCATGTGTGAAAGCCCCTCGACCTTGGGCTCTAGCTCTGCCTCCTGCTCCTGGCCCACTGGAGCTAGAGGCATTTCTTCACTCAGACAGCTGCTGGCTGCTGAGGCTAATAAGCCAAAGGTCGACAAGTAAAAAGGCACAGTCCTGATGTTACCAAACCACACGGCAGGACATTAATTTAAGTCCATTGTAAGTCCCAAGGTCGGCAGAGCATGGCAGGCTGCCGAACAACAACATGGCTACATGCGGGGTTCAAGCATGCCATAAGCTAGAGACTATCCCCAAGGCTTCTCCTTATAAACAGAAAGCAGACCACATCCCAAAGGCAGCTACTCAGCTGCTTGTGGTAGATCCCACCATAGAGTTGACTGCCAGTCTCATCAGGGGGAATAACTACCACCAACTACCCAGCCACTCAACCAGGCCCAGCCAAATTGACATACAAATTTAACTTCCACACACTCTATGCATACTTCTAACATAACATTTATAGTATAGCATTATAATTTATTTTTCTATTTCTCCAACTAAACCATAGCCAGGGAAGGGACCATTCCCTGGAGAAGGATATCATGCTTGGTAGGGTGGAGGGTCGACGAAAGAGGGGGAGGCCTTCAACGAGATGGATTGATATGGTGGCTGCAATGATGGACTCAAGTATAGCAGGGATTGTGGGGCTGGCGCGAGATCGGGCAGTGTTTCTTTCTGCTGTGCATGGGGTCGCTATGAGTCGGAAACGACTCGACGGCACTTAATAACAACAACAACAACAAACCATAGCCAATCTGGGGACAGAGACTACATTTAATTTATCAGTGCCAGTACATATTAGGTGTCTCAGTAAAGGTTTCCTTGACAAATGAGTCATTCAAAATTAAATTTTATTAGTTTCTTTGTGAAGCCCTCCCTAACCCTCAGGCTAAGATACCCTTTCCTATCCTCTAGTACACTTCATAAATCCTTCTACTGTTGCCCTTGTCAAGCTACATTTTTACTGTCTCTCTCCTTCAACTGGATTGTGAATTAGTTGAGGACAGTGACTATGTTTTCTCTTTCAGTGAATTAAGCAGCTAGCACAAAGCCTAGCATGTATTATTCAATCAGTTCATATATCGAGCAAAACTATGCTCAGAGGAAGCTATCCACAGTTGATAGCCACCTATTTTCCTAGGCTCCATCTTAAGACCTTAAAGTATAGCTAATTTTCACATCTCATGGAAAAACTGTAAAGGATCAAAAGTCCAAAGTAATATGCATTTGCTTTTATTCTCATCTCATTTTTCTGTGCTTTCCAAAATTTTGAAAGAGTATTTTATTTTTTCACCATTAAAAGTTATAGCAATTTGAAAAAGGATAGTGAAAATGGTTGCACAACTTGAAGAATGTGATCAATGTTACTGTATAAATTGTTAAGATGGTGTGTTTTCTTATGAATGTTTTCACCAAAATAAAATTAAGGGAGAAATACCCACCATTGTACTTAACACTGTTGGCCAGAATAAGGTTTACATCATCTAGAAAGCTGTCCCGACTCTGATACTTGTGCTTGGAGATGTTCTGTGATTAAAAGAATCAGGCAGTCAGATACAAATACAAGATCACTTGATTCCAAAACGGGATTTTAGATCAAATCACCTACCTTACGTATAGTCTCTAAATCCATTGGGTTGACAATCACTTTGTAATAATCTGGAACAAATTTCTTATTGACTGGGTGATGAAATGGCCAAGACTAATAAAAAGGAAACATGAGAAACTAAATGGAAACCATTCTTTGCACCAGAATTTCTCAACTTTGATCAGGGCACAAATATTCCTAAGACTCTAACAAAAGCTACGCACACTTTCCCAGAAAAACGTATAATCATATAAACACTTATATATAATTTAAGGGGTTCATAGATTCCTTTAGGGGCTCCTATGCCCTGATAAGGTAAGAACTCCTGCTCTAAACTTACAATTAAAATTCCTTATTCCCTAGTCTCATTCAGAAGTATTATAGCATTATATATGTTACATGCCTACAGTGGTGCAAATGGTTAACACACTCAGCCACTAACCAAAAGGTTGTAGATTAGAGTCCACCCAGAGGTGCCTTGGAAGAAATGTCTGGTGATCTACTTTCAAAAAATCAGCCATTAAAAACCCTATCGAGTACAGTTCTCTTCTGAAACACATGGGGTCACCATGAGTTGGAACTGATTCGATAGCAACTGGTACAGCAAAAAAGAAAACTCAGTTCAGAATTCCTGGTGAGGATCACTACAACAAAAGGGCCACAGAATCAACACGGTAGCCCTGCTATAAAGTTGCAAAAAACAAAGTGAAACAAAAGACAACACTAGGCAATTATCGATTTGTCATTTCCCTCTAATTAAAAAGGGCAATGTACCAAATGTGAGTGATCAATATGGTGGCATTTAGGAAGAAGAAGACATAGATAGGTGTATGGGAGGTGCAGACAACAAAGATGAACCCTTTTGCACATACAGTACTGCGCTGTCAGTGAAGGCAAACATGGGTATACGGGTGGATAGATGAGTGGACAGGTTGAACTATTGGGTAAGTCTATGCAGCAGGAAGTGTACCCAAGACCATGTATAAGATTGGCCGACAATGGTTCTACAAGTGTAGCTGTATGTTCTGTAAGAATTTCCAGGTGTATAGTAGAGCTGACAAGGGACAAGGTTGTAGTCACTTCTTGGTCAAAGCCAGCTACCCAGAAGGACTGAGTGGTTGAACCTGTGGGCTCGGGACAATAGTCACAGGGGACATCAAGCTCAATTGGCATAACATACTACACAAAACATTGCTCCACCTCCTACTTTGGTGAATAGTGACTGGGATCTTAAAAGCTTGCAAGCAGCCATCTAGATGCAATGATGGGTCCCTCCTTGTCCAGAGCAAAGAAGAATGAAGAAAACCAGAGATTCATGGAAACAAGTAGTCCTAGCAACTGGTATACCATGTGATCCGCACCCTGTACGACTATGAGACCAGAAGAACTAGATGGTGCCCAGCTACCACTGTCAACCACTCAGAGGGGGGATCTATGTAGGACATCCAGGATAGAGTGGGAGAATAATGTGGAACAAAACTCAAAATCATTTGGAAAAAAAAAAGGGGGGGGGAGACCAGAGTTGCTGGTCTGACAGAGCCTGGTAGAACCATGAGAATATGGCCACTAGCTGCCCTTCAGGTCTGGAATTGAACCCACACCTATGACTTCCAGCCAAAAAAAGAGACAGGCATATGAGTTGAACATTTACCTGAGGTAGATACACTCCTCGGAGAGAACAATCATGGGAGAAAGAAGGGCTGTTTATGCACAGGAAGACAGCTCAGGGGGCAGGAGTGCATGGAGGGATGGACACAGGGAAGAGGTAACTATCAGGAGGAAGTGGGAGGAGAACTGTTACATTGGGGTAAATTGTAGTCAGTGTCATGAGACAATGCGTGTGAACTGCTGTATGGAAAGTGAATTTGCTCTGTAAACTCTCACCCAAATCACAATTAAAAAAAAAAAAGGCACCTGTAATCAAAAGCCTCCTATTAGCTGTTGTTGTTCTTGTTAGGTGCCACAGAGTTGTCCCCAGCTCATAGCCACCCCATGTACAACAGACTAAGACAGACTCAGAAGAAAGAAGAGGCCATCCACTTCTCAAAGAAGTGGACAATGAAAACCTTATGAATAGCAGTGAAACACTGTCTGATGTATTACTGGAAAGCTTTATGAATAGCCCATTAGCTGGTATCCTAAATTCTCTCCAGGGCTAGTAAGATACATTAAAATATTAAATGTCATCAGGAAATAAAAAGCTCTCTACAGGCAAAAATAACAAAAAGGTCAATTTTTAAAATTATGTACCAGGTTGAACTAACGTAGACCATCCCCCAGAGTCCCCATCATACATTATGCATACATACCTTATAGTTCTTTCCTTTCCCCTGTACTATCCTCAAAATATTTAGCACAGAAGCCACTTACATCTGGAACTGCCATCATTTTCTGGGTGACAATGTTGTCCAGAATGAAAGAAAATGCCACTTGGTCATCATCATCCAGCAAGGGATTGATAGCTTTCTCTAAACGAGCCAATTTGTCTTCTTTCTGAAATAAAACAAAGCAAAGCAATGGCAGAAGTTTCCCTGAGATGTAACAACCATAGAAAAGTTAAGGATAATTTAAAGTGCAGCTGTCTATTACTCTTACCCCAGAAACTTTAACTTCGAATTATCTATTATTCAGTTTTAAGCAAAAAGTCCAGATAAGAGAAAAGACTGTTCCAGTAAGAATCAAAAAGGATATGCCAACCACTCTATATTCTACTGTTGTAGATTTACCAACAATATACATCTCTGGGCATCAAAGTTTAGCTCTCGCAAAAGAAACATCTTCACTACCTTAGGTTTTAATATTATACTCAGTTTTTGCTGTAAAACAACCACTTAAAACACTGGATGTTACTGTTGTTTAGTGACATTTTTATTTTGTTAGGTGCCATCAAGTTGGCACTGGGTCACAGTGACCCTATGTACAACAGAGCGAAACACTGCCCTGTCCTGCACCATCCTCACATTTCTTATTATGCCTGAGTTCATCAATGTAGCCACTGTGTCAATTCATCTTACTGAGCATCTTCCCCTTTTTTGCTGACCCCCTACTTTACCAAGCATGATATACTTCTCCAAGGACTGCTCCCTTCGGACAACATGGCCAAGGTGGGTGAGATGAAGTCTGTCTATTCTCACTTCCAAAGAACATTCCGAATGCACTTTTTCCTGGATCGATCTGTTCTTTCTTCCGGCAGTCAACATTTGCAATATTCTTCACTAATACCACAATTCAAAGGCATCAATTCTTCTTTGGTCTTCCTTATTCACTGTCCAGCTTTCAAATTAATATCAGGTGACTGAAAATATCATGACTTCAGTCTGTCACACCTTAGTTTTTAATGTGACATCCTTCCTCTTTAAAACTTTAAAGAGGTCCCTTGCAGCAGATTTTCCAGCGCAATATGATGTCTAATTTCTTGACTACTGTTTTTCCATGTGTGCTGACTGTGGATTCAAGTAAAATGAAATCCCTGACGACTTCAATCTTTTCCCCAATTATCATGATATTGCTTATTGGTCCGGTTGTGAAGATTTTTTGTTATATTGATGTGTAATCCATACTGAACACTTGTCTTTGATCTTCATCAGTGCTTCAAGTCATCTTCACTTTTGGCAAGCAAGGTTGTGTCATCTGCATATTGTAAGTTGTTAATGAATCTTCCTCCAATCTGAAAGTTGCCTTCTTCACATAGTCCAGCTTCTAAATTATTTGTGAGCATACAGATTGTGTAAGTATGGTGGAAAGATACAACTCGGACGCACACCCTTCCTGATTTTAAACCATGCAGTATCCCCTTGTTCTGTACAGGTTCCTCATGAACACAATTGTTCTGGAATTCCCATTTGTCACAATGTTATCCA